GACGCTCTAGTATGGAGATATCTTTGCAGGTCGCAAAGGCCCCTCCTGAAGGACAGAAGGCGAAGCCTGAGGATGTTCTGATCACTTGCGCCTTCACAATGGTGTCTCTTGATCCGGCTACCAAGAAGTACGTTTCCTCGAGTAGCTAATTCTCAAAGTACCATACTAACGCTTCTTAGACCCGTCAATGTCGCACCCCTCTTGCTAGAAACTGATGAGGAGCGTCTTCTCTTTAAAAAAGGAGAAGAGAACTATCAAGCCAAAAAAGGACTGAGAAAACGAAGTTTGCTTCAGAAGGCCCCAGACGACGAAGAGAGTAACCTGATTCACTCCATGTGGACCAAGGAGATGTCGTATCTGAGTACGTGGCTACTCTCCAAGATTCTGCCGTGATTACAGCCACTAATATCGCACAGGTCCGGAATCTTCCGCTCAAAGACCATCAAACATGGTCTTCATGAGCGACACCAACTTGAAATCAGCCATGATCATGCAGCCACAAAACCGCAACCGTCACAACTTCATGATCTTCGGTGGTTTCCTTTTGAAGCAGACCTTCGAGCTTGCATTCTGCTGTGTGGCGTCTTTCTCCCACGCTCGACCCAACTTCATCTCCCTTGATCCTAGCACGTTCGAGAACCCCGTTCCCGTTGGCAGCGTCCTGTACCTTCGCGCCACGGTTGCCTATACAGAGCCTGTCGAAACAGACTCGGGCAGCAAGTACACCAAGGTTCAAGTCCGTGTGGACACCAAGGTCAGGGATGTGGAGCATGGCACCAAGAAGTCGACCGGCCAGTTCAACTACACTTTCTTGGTTGAGAAGGACATCCAGGTAATGCCGAAGAGTTACGGTGAGTTTATGCTCTGGACGGATGCCCGGAGACGGTCACAGAATGCTGCTGCGTTGGCCCCTGCTGGATCGAGGGAGCTTAGTGCTCTGAGGGGGCTCAAGGATAGCGTGACTGAGTAGATGCTACTATATAGAATAATATTTGTATATCGTATGGTTCTGTATGCTTTTAGAGTCCTTGGGACTCCCGAACGCATATGGATATCGTTTATACTTCCTATCAAAAACAAGGTTATAGCAACCAATAATAGTGATATCTGTCTATGTATACCAAGCATGTCCAGAATACAAAAAAGAAAGATCAGTAGAAACAAAAGATCACGATCGATCTATATACCAGTCACATGACATGACATCTCCGCACCGATAAAGACCAAACAGATCTTATCTCTCAAGCTCCCTTTAACCCCTCCATACATATTTGTACAGAGCGTGTATTCGATTGTCTCCCATATATATGCTTCTATTCTTACTAGATCTATAATCTACCTTTCATTGAAAATGAGTGGGCTCTTTCAAAACATCTACCATCTCCGCCGGGTAGCAGACACCGCCGCAAAGGCGTGCTATGTCTGCCACAAGCCCTCGAGCAGCGTGATGATCACGCCCGACAACAAGGTAAATACATTCTAACCTCTTTCAAAGCATGACTGGTTGCGGGGAGACGTTAGTAACAAAGTCGAAGGATTTCTTCTACGTTTGTCCTGTTCATCTGAAGGATCGGCATTTCTGCTCTCCTATCGTTGACACAGAGGACGAGGAAAAGAAGAAGAAAGAAGAGGCATTAGCAAAAGAAATCGAGAAAGTAAAGAAGGAGTACGAAGAGAAACAAAAGAAGAAGAAAGACAAGACGAAAGAAAAGAAATCCGACGAAGAGTCAAAGAAGGAAGAAGGATCATCGACTGACAAAAAGGAGGGCAATGACGAAAAGGAACGAGACGATAAGGTCTATACCCTACCTCCCCTGCCCCTTCTCCCTCACCCCCCAGCCGCTCAGGCCTTGGACGTGAATCAGAAACGACAAACGAAAAGCTAAAGCTGACACACTGAAGATCGAATCCCTCAAGAAGTCAGCACAACCCACGTCCACGTCGGATGACGGGCCTCGTATTTTCGCATTGCATAAGTATGTCCTAACCCGATTCAGGACCCTGACACGCTTTGCCAGCTCAGCACAATCTGACCGCATTGGCTCGCAGAAATTTCTACCAGATGCGCATCGACAGACTGCGTAATCTCGAGGCTGCCAAGAGAAATCGCCAGCGCCTGCAGGATCCCTCATTTTTCCCCTCTGTCCCGTCCGGAGGGCTCTGATGAGGTCAAATTTACGGGGGTTGCTTGCCTCATCAGGACCGATTAGGATGTTAATAGCGAGATGAAGTGCCTATTCGTCAGCTCGTTTAGACGGAGATCTCGACGTCATATCTTTAAGCGCGGCAGTACGACGATCATATCAGAGCGTCGCTGCGAAGATGAAATAAACGACAAGCTCGCGCAGCCATGGTTACTCATTGCCCACCCTCAATTGAGGTAAACCGTACTTGAACTCAGTCTTCTGCTCGAGTCGCGTTAGACAATACAACTGCGCTACAGATCAGCTCGGAATTCATCTAAATCAAACTCATGGTCTGATCTCCAAATCAGCCAACACTCACCACATGACACCGTCAGCAGCATCCAATGTCGCCATCCTGAAGTCTGCCTAGTTCACCCGGGGCTCAGTCAATATCGGAAGAGAGGCAAGGCACTCCAAGTGGAACCCAACACGATAGCTCAGCACTAAGCACGACGTGGAAGCTTCTAACCCAGCCACCTCAGCCTTATAGGCAACAGTTCGTGGTCTTATGCTCGCACTATGTATGTGAAAATCCGTATATCCGGTTCGACGATGGGCTTCAATAGCTTGCGACTTGTCTGGCCAATATGATAGCAGGCAATACCTACTACGTGCTATATGAAGCCAACTTAAAATAACGCATCGCATACACATCTACAATATACACACAAATGCATAGAAACACTCTAATTCAATCAATATGTAAAACCCAACCTGACAAGATAAAAGAAAACAAAAGATATAGCAAGCAAGGAGCATCATATCATATACATAACATAGCCGGCATGTCATGCACAAACACAGACCACCGATGCATCTTGCATATTCTGCCTAGACTAGGCAGGTCACTAGATTTCCAACGGAGCACATGCATACAGTGCATATTCCTATTTCGATCCAGCCATCGGGACTCGCGCGAGATTTGTGCAATCAGAGCTCATGCATAATAGCGCCATGATGTCAGGGAGCGGACGGTTTCATTTACTCGTTTCTAATCCATGACTCTACTTGAGGTCTCTGTGGGGAATAAGGAGGTATACTGTATGCATTGCAGTGGAGAAGGAGGAGGCAGTGCACTCTGTGCTGCCTGTTGTTAGGCCCTTCGGTTAGGCGGGGAGTATCTAAGGGGTTGCGTTTTGGTTGTATGGGGTTACTTGAAGGGGGAGACTGGTGTGGATACAATGTTTTTTTTTTTTTTTTAATCCGTTGGAATTTATACAGAACCTATGAGAGTTGAATATTGTACTGATTTTAAGATGGATCCGGTGGTGGATGTGGTGTTCTCGTAGCGCTTAGGCTTAGAGTCGGGTTTCGTTGGACATCCGATTGATGAGGTCGATGGCTGCATTGACTGGATGAGAAGTTTGAGCGTCGTGGGCAAGTGACGTCATTTTCGATACAGGGTCGCTTCTGGAAGGAAGTTGTCGCTTTTATCCGACAATTAGATCCATGGATAGGATACTACTTATGGCTCAAGAAGCATTTCGAAGAGCTCCTTCTTACCCTGTCTGGGATATAGGGGGTGCAAGTCTCGATCACCGAGGAATGGATGAAGTCCACCGCCAAGGCCAGTATCTCACTGATAACATTGATCTTTTAAGATAATCCCATGGAATCCCAAATCCACTCCTTCGGAGCGAGCGATCATCATAATTGCGATTGCAGTTGCCACTATGGAGTTATAAGTATGAAGCGGTCTGGCGGTAATGGAAATACGGTGGGTCAGGGGTTCGCCGGAATTCAAATTACGACGGCGGTACTGGGGTAACGGTCATGATACGAAAGGCGTTACGGCAGGAGTTGCATCCATGGGTCTCGCGCCCCCCAGTTGCGTAAGAGCAGTTTGCACAGCCCCCGTGCCGGAGCTAGTGAGTAGGCTAGGCCTACCCTGCTGGAGCCTGGTCTCCTCCTGGAACCGGGTCACGGACGCTCGACACGCCTGCACCGATTACTAATGCTCCTTCTCAGGAACTTGTGCACCACTGTCCACTGGGAAGTTTGAGTTTGTCCTCCCCGATCTTCCCACGCCGCAGATCCCGGGACTTGTTCTACCCGTCCATTGGTGGGTTTCCCAGCCAGTGGGCCTTGCCTTAAAAACAGCCTCGTGGAGCTGTGGGGTTAAGCCCTGAATCCTGACAGGTTCTAGCGCTTGGACATCGCAAGACATTCAATCTGCTGGTATCTTGCTCAGAACAGTCAAGCAACGCTTCCCCAGCAGTGATGCCATAATATCAACTAGCTCAGCAGGTATAAATTATGATTGTCTATGAGCTATCAACCGTACGAATTCTGTCATCACGGAAATTAATTTCGTCGCTGCTAGCTTGGTAGATCAACGCCATTGCGGGATGATCGGCATCAGGGTCGTCTAGAAGCAGAGATGGGTCGCACCAAGACTCGACTCTGCGTGCCTAGACCCAAGTCTTGTGGTAGCTAGGTACCTGTTCATGTATGCTTTTCTTCATCCGTCATCTCCCCGTCGGTGTGGTGGATCCGTGAAGATCCGAAATTCCGTATTCTGGCAAGTTGTGGCAACGCGTCCACGCAAGACCCAACCCTATTTAACCCAAAGTTGTAGTTGCCGTTTTCTCTACACCGCTTTGGGCAAATAGTTGGATATGGCCAAGTAGACGAAGGCGCACAACATCTCCTCTTCACGGTGATCTGTAAGCCAGACCCTACCGCATCACGTGATGTGAGCATTCTAACGCTGGCTGTCAGAGACGGAATTATGTGTATTCAAGCGGCAATGGTAATTATCCGCAAAGTATCCGCCATGTCAGTCGCCCCTGAGGCGCAGTCACAGTAGTAAACTTAGAGATTGCCCCGTCCATTTGTGGAATCCTCCGCAGGATTACGCCTCATACTAGGCGGCAGTCGGATGCCTAGGGCAGCTGGAGGTAATCTTCCCACATTGACACGTTGGGACATATCGATTCGAGCCTTCGCAAGGCCGATTGCAGGAACTACCCAGTCGCCGCAGCTACATTGCATACCCTGCCATGCAAACTTCCCGATATTGGAACCACACGAAGTGTTCGGGCAGGTCAAGCGACCAGACAAGGGCGCATCCCCAGACGGTGATCCATCTTCTTCACCGTTAGGGAAAAGGCACGGGCGCATCCACGTCAAAGGATGTAAGAAAATGTGGGCGCAATCGGTTGGTCCCTTTGCACCGTTCTGCGGGCCATGTGGTATGATGAATGGCGTGGTCGCCAAGTTTCGCCTACCGGATACAGTCAACATTTGGATGTTCATCTGGAGAGATCTATTGTAAGATTAGGAAACTGACCTGCATTTCCGACATTTAATTTCCGTTGTTCGATCCGTATTGTCTTGGGGTTTGTGCGGCTGTTCGTCTTCAAATAGCACGGAATTCATCTCCGGCGCGCGCCCACATGCTACACTTTCCTCAACTTCGCGGCGGTAAAGCCAACGGCTATACAGCGGATGGCTGATCACATCGTCTGGACAGCCCATTTCGTGGTAGATCGACAGCTGTTTCATGAACCCATCATTTGGCTCGCAAAGTGGCCGGCTCTCCTTAATAATAGCAAGAGCGGACTGCGGCGTCAGTGCGCTTGGCTGTTGGTGGAGCATATAAGCGATACATATGGTGGCTGAACGGGATTTTCCCATCGCACTATTTATTATCAGTAACAAAATTCATCGTGCCTCTCATCTAAGAAGTCCGCTGGGGTCAGGTGAAATATCTCAATATGACAACCTTGGCCGACAAGGGAAGACCCATGCTCGTGATAGGAGCACGTGACATCGGTCAGAGCTTCGTTTTGACTATACATGGGGATGGAAGGCCAGAAGAATGAAAACGCTTGGGCCCAGAATCATAGAGTTTTTCACAGCCAGCCAGGCCACCCGAGAATATGGGGATACTGCGGGCTTGTGGGCATGAGAAGCAATGAGGAAGAGGGGTAGACTAACCAATGGACCAGGACGCCCCCACCAGCATCCAATCCAGACTGGATGAACTTAATGGCGGACGGGAAATGTTCTAGGAGGTTCTCATCCTCGACATCGTCCACATCGATGCGATGATGTTGGAAGCCTGCAAATGTCTCTTCTTGTGGTTGCAGGCGTAATACCGAAAGTACATGGGTAATGTTTGCTCTTTCCAATGCTGCCCTGTTTTTAAGGGAGAAAATACTACACGTCAAACCTGTGTGTCAGCAAGTGGTTCGATGTAAAGAATATTTCTTTCTTGTTTTTCTTGACTTGGACTTTCAAGAGTATATTTGTTGCCCCGCGTTGTTAGGATTTCTGACCCAACGCAATGAAGGTTTAATACGGGTATTGAGGGACAAGGTAAGACCAACCCTCCAATATAGATGTTCTGGCCGGGAATACGATTCATAGCCATTGTGAATGCCGCTTTGAGTAACACTAATGCACATATGAATAATGGTATAGTATTAGGTCAGTAATGAAACGGAGGAGGTATGTCGGTGATAGTGGAATGTAAAGCGTTGACAATGATCCTCCTAGACCAGGTTCAGATATCAAGCCAAGAACTTGATGGCGGATGTCATTGGTTGATGAGAGGAAGGCCGACGAGAGACGGCACGGGACGGCAGCTAGGGTGTAGGGCAAGGGCAAGGGCAGGCTGCGGTTAGGGCCTGAGGCAATAAGGTTGGGGGCCCCCGCATTACTAGCCTTGAACCCTGAATCTGAATGAAGGAAGGAAGGAAGGAAGGAAGGAATGTATTTGATGAGATAGGTGGACTACATTTCTTGTCCCAACTGGACGTTTGCAATATTCAATGGGCAGAGATACCATACTTTCTATGGCTAACCATGCGGCAAACCTCTCGAGCCCATCCTGGTTGACTATCTACGCAACTTCTACTCTGTAGATTCAGAGATGTAAGCTCAGTCGAGTGAGGTGGAACCAAAATCTCTGAAACCGGACTCTTGGAGGTATGCACGTACGTCTGTGCTGCCAGTCGTAAGTTGAAGTCTTGGAAGGACTGGATACAATCAAAACTCCGCACTTCGGCACCAAGGATCACCCTCATTCGTAAGTGCGGGACGGAATCGGATAACCTCAAGCCCCTTCCCAACAACGATTGGTGTCGAGTAGACGCCAAGGTCCCAAATCCTCAGATAGTTTCAGATGTGCACTGTTTCAAACCATGTCCGCTGTGGTAAAAGTCCACGTCGATCGATTGGCCACATGTGATAAAGGAGTCTGTGCGGCTTTCATTCCACAGACGACAAATATGCTTCTACGTAGTTTGAGTCCCCGTCCTAAGGCTATCCAGACTATACATTTTGGCTTCTACGTTTTGGATGTGCGTATGTCGATTGCGTTTTCTGTCTCACTATGAGCCGTGTACGGGTGCTACTAGAAGTAAACCCTGACTCGACACTAACTTAGTACTTACCCCCTGATATGCACATGACGCCTGATCCAGGTTCGATCAATCAAATGCAACACCGAAGAAAACAGTTGGAATCAAAGTAGATTAAGCTTGACCTCCTCAATCCTCATGCATCATGCAGAGTGAGCACTGTGCAATTTGAAATCGATTGGGTGCTAAGTGCGACTACTAGCTGAGGTCAGTTCAGCTAGCCATGCCTGGGTAGGTCAATACTGGTTAACTAGCGCCTCGATTCCTATGTCAGCAGGCCTGTGCACGGGACTTAGCCTGCAGCCTGTTAAGGCTTAAGGCTGACGGCGCTTTTGTATGGCAAGTAGTCTAACTTTACTCGGATGCTTGCTTTTTCTTACTCGCGTTTGAAATTTGACCCTTGTCCCTGCGAAGGGCTTCCGTATCACGGCGTAATTATAAGACAACATCTGCACTCATCCAGTCATGAGAGACGTGTGACTCGCACTACATCCACTGACCGACTATATATAGTGCTTACGTGCGGGACCCTTAAACTAGCATTTCATCGCGAAGACTACAAGACTCCCCCTCTTTTCCATCAATCGCCGACCATGCTGCTGACTTGCGCACGACTGCCCAATCGTATCGGGTCGTCGATCAAGTATGGGATGATGGCAAAGACAAGCGTCGCATCGTATATGTAGGCTTACAAGCGGCAAAGATTAGCAAGGCAAGTGAAATCCGCCGGATTGCCACAGCCCAGTGGATACATGTGTGTGTGTTGTTGTTGTTGTCCAAGTGATGGTTTTCAGTGGGCGCGTAAGACTCAACAACGAGAGGAAGACGAGGATCATATCCATTTCCATTCCTCTCAGCTGTGGATGGTAGGAGCTGAATAGACAAGATTGGAGTTGATCACCTCTTCTGATCGCCACAGTGACCGTATACTACATAGTATAGAGTGTGGTGCTGAGGGCCGCCAGTAGTGGCGAAAAAAAATTTTCAATAGTGATAGCATTACTGAATAGAGAAGAACAATAATCTACTGGGGTCTGCAAGTTACCCTTGCCTTGAATCATTTTGCCCCCTCTTTGACGTTTTTATTTTATTTTATTTTTATTTAGTTGGAAGGTTTTTTTTCTTGCTAGCAAAAAGCTGCAACGGGGATGAAGCTTCTAAGACAATTGTTGCGGCAGCTTCCTATTGCTTAATAGAAAGACCACATAAGGCGTCGAAAAGAGACCAGTGGAACGAAACAAGAATAGTACGCCGTCGTCCGTCTTCCACATTAAGCCTTTCTTTTGTAGCTTTTGTTATTTTTATTTTATTTGTTTATGAATTTTATGTAGTAG